AGGGGACAGAGTGGCTGGAGAGCAGCCAGGCAGGAAGGGAGCTGGGAGAAGGGAGAGAACATGAGCCAGAGTGTGCCCAGGTGGCCAAGAAGGCCAATGGCATCCTGGCCTGGCTCAGGAAGAGTGTGGCAGCAGGAGCAGGGAAGTGATTCTTGGCCTGCACTCAGCGCTGGGGAGGCCACCCCTGGACTGCTGTGTCCAGCTCTGGGCCCTCAGGTCAGGAAGGACATGGAGGGGCTGGAGCAGGGGCAGAGAAGAGCAACGAGGCTGGTGAAGGGACTCGAACACAAGTCCTATGAGGAGAGGCTGAGGGAGCTGGGGTTGTTGAGCCTGGAGAAGAGGAGGCTCGGGGGGGACCTCATCACTCCCTGCAACTCCCTGACTGGAGGTTGTAGCCAGGTGGGGGTCTGTCTCTTCTCCCAGGCAGCTCTCAGTAAGACAAGAGGGCACGGTCTTAAGCTGTGCCAGGCGAGGTTTAGGTTGGATATTAGGGAAAAACTTTTTATAGAGAGGGCAATCAGGCATTGGAATGGGCTGCCCAGGGAAGTGGTGGATTCTCCGTCCCTGGAGGTTTTTAAGATGAGACTGGATGTGGCACTCAGTGCCATGGTCTGGGAACCACAGCAGTGTTGGACCAAGGGTCGGACTTGATGATCTTGGAGCTCTTTTCCAACCCAGCTGATTCTATGATTCTATGAACACTGATGGACTGTAGCAACAGCAGTAAATGTCAAAAGCATAACTTTGCTGTGGCCAAGGGAAAATGGCTATGCCAGAATCTCCTGGAGTTGGTCTTAAGAAACAGTGTTCTAAGCACTACTGACGTCTACTGATGACCACTATATCCCTACTGATCTCTCTTCTGGAACACTTGCCTTTGCTAGTATTCCAAAAATATTTTGGAGCTAAAACTGAGACCAAATTCCAAGATGTTGTTACCTTTTTGTCTTTGAGTATGTTAGTAACTGCCATCATAACATAGTGGTCACTCTCAAAAACCAAGAGACACATAAACCTGGCATCTTTCCTGATCCGACACACTAAAGTTGCAATCACTTCAGGCTTCCTGTATTGTATCTCCTGTCGGGGCAGGGCAAGGATAACTGGATCTTTGAAACCTATTGGCAAATATCTACCTTTGGGTTCAGTGACTTTTTTTACTCCAGTCTCCTCCACCATGAATGCTCCTCAGGTTGCAGAGCAATTCCCGGTATGGTGAATTTGCAGGAAAGTCACTGTGGAATATGGTAATTCTTGCATTAACACTGGAATGGCTTTGCATTATCTACTCGTCACTGCTGTTATGCTATGGGTTCTCTGTGGTGTCACCACCACTATGCCACTACCACTCCTGCATTGCTTAAAGGACTATTTAGCCTGTGGATACATCAAGACAAGTACTGCATAGCTATGTCACCATATTTTCATCTTGGCATATAGCATGTTTACTGCATCGGTTTTAAGTCCCTACCAACCACCACTGCTGAAACCTTTTTCCAACAGTCCAGGCCTGCATGAAAATATCCTTCCCTCTACCAGTGCATCTACCCCAACCCACAATCCATGTGCTGTCTTGATTTTGATACCTGGAGACACTGTAGATGAAAAACCTATTCCAAAACTCCAAGACTAGAATAATCTCCTAAACACTGTCTCTTAAAACGCATGTTTATTTAAAGCCTTTATCTTGTTAAGACCATATCATAATCCTTTGAAGCCACTGGCAAAACTCAGGTTTATGTATTAATAAAGAACCCGAATCTTTCAGAATTGACATTCTGATGCTTCACATGTCAGCTGTCACTCAAAAAGTTTACCAGAAGCTAGCATGTATAGGTGTGATTTAGCTTTGAAGAAATAAGTGAATTTACCTTAGTTATCCAAAACAGATTTTTAGATGAAGAGCATTTTCTGAAGTTCTTAGCAGTGAACTTATTCTGACTGAAGTTAAATTAAGACCAGGACCTGGAGACAATTTCAGTGCAAGAGTACACACTGAAGGATAACCCTGAGAATGTAACCTCTATGCATCACAGGAGATGAGTCCACCAAACTAAAGCTGTAAATAGAAAAGGCCTTAAATATTGGGTGCATGCCAGACTCCTACTCAGCCTGTGCTTTCAGGATGTGTTTTGGTAGTGTGTTCTGAATACATCTCCACCCGTAAGGAGTATGTCTGTGCACAGCCCATACAGGCATGAGAGGGCAGAACACGCATTTAAGGGCTTTTGACGGATCTGTGTTTCTGCGGCTGTATGGTGTGTGTATCATAAGGTTAGCTGAGCTGTCTGTTTTGTGCAGGCTGATGGTATTGTTGAATCTGGTGTTTCCTGGCAGGATGTTTGGTGAGTTTTGCTGTGCATCTGTTTCCTGAGTTCAGTCTCTGTTTACAAGGATGTTGGGGCCTCTGTGCAGCACAGTATGGGCAACTTTGCAACTCAGACACTGTCTCTTATCTCACCCTTCCAAGAATTTCTCTACAAAGGCTGCTTGTGTTGCAAGTGGGATGCAGGAAGCTGCTATCAAATGGGAGACTGTTTAATGCTCTAGCTGGCAGGGCTGGGGTATAGGAGGCTTTGGAGTCAGAGCTCGGAAAACACAACTCCAGCACATATTCAGGCTGCTCCACTGACACTCGGGGTATGTTTAACTCAGACTTGAATAGAAGAACACAGGGATTATAATGAACTAGCCTTTAAAACATTCAGAAAAACCAAACACGTGGTAGGAGCTTTTAGACAGAAAGTACATTACCTATGGATGCCAGCAGTTCAGCAGGGCATAAACTTCTTTGGATCAATAAATTTGGATACTGTAGGTTAGAAAACTTGCAGTTACCTCTAGAGTTACTGGGTACTTATCACAACAGAGGGAATTATAAAAAAAGTAGTAACAGAAAAAAAGGGAATTAAAGAACATATGTATGCTTCTTTCTCTGTGTTGTCAACTGTTATCTGGGGGACCATGTGTGCATGGAGCAACGCAGAATATGTCCTCCAATATCAAATTCTGAGCAGTCTAGGGATCCCAATTATTCAAAAGTATTCTGGCAAACAGGAAATGGGTCTGAAGCCCAAAGACTTGTGGGAACTCCCGAGGATTTTGGCAGTCCATGTCTTCTATTGCAGATTCCTGAGAGGCTCCAGGATCAGCTTTTATCAAGTCCTCACTGCTTCAGGGAACAGTGTACAGTGTAAAGCAGGAGGATGCATGAAACCCCTGGTACTGATGCTAGTTCTGTCCATACCAATCATATGGTCACCACTCAGGTCTCTTATATAAATGTGGCAAAGGAGACAGCAGCGAGTGCAAAGCCTTTATTTCGTCAAGCTTTGAAATATTTGTCATAATTTTACTGTGTCAAGTTGTGGATTGTGGGATCTCTGAGTCACAGTCCACTGCTAAATACTTTGGTGGACTAAAACAGAAGGATGAAAAAAATTCCAATGGGCATTTATAAAGCAAAGTCATAATTAATGTTTAGTAAAATCTTGGGATATTAAGCAGAGCTGTCATGATAACCGTATGCACCACAGTGTCTTTCTTAATCAACAGTAATAAAAGAAAAAGCTGCTTTTTGAAGAAATATGCAAGTTTTACAATACATAAAATAAATGGAGTTTGCTGTTCAAGAAACCCCATCTCTCTTAGGATTTCACTTGCTCAGGCTTAGTGTCCAAGTGCTGCAGGGCTCCATCTTGGGCCCTGTGCTCTTCAACATCTTCATCAACGACTTAAGACGCAGGACTGGAAGGGATAATAGCAAGTTTGCAGATTATACAAAACTGGGAGAAGCTGTTGAGTCCCTTGAAGGCAGGGAGGCCCTGCAGAGAGACCCTGACAGATCCGAGAGCTGGGAATCGCCAACCATAGGAAGCTCAACAAGGAAAAGTGCCAGATTTTACACCTGGGATGGGGCAACAATCCAGATGGGCAGACTGGAGAATGAGAGGATAGAAAGCAGTGCCAGGAAAGGGCCCTGGGGGTCCTAGTGGGTGGCCAGTTGGCCATGAGTCAGCAGTGCCCTGGCAGCCAGGAAGGCCAACCCTGTCCTGGGGCCATCAGGCCCAGCATAGCTGGCTGAGCCAGGAAGGGAATTGTCCCGCTCTGCTCTGCCCTGGCGCGGCCTCACCCAATATTGGGGCAGTTTTGGTCACTGCAATATAAGAAAGATATTAAGCTCTTAGAGAGCATCCAAAGGAGGACAAGGAAGATAGTGAAGGGCCTTAAGGGGAAACTGTAGGAGGAGCAGCTGAGGTCACTTGGTCTGTTCAGCCTGGAGAATAGGAGACTGAGGAGAGGCATCAGCAGGGTCTTCAGTTTCCTCACAAGGGGCAGTTAGTTGGTATTGCCAGGTAGTAAACGTGGAAGCTGCCTTCCCAACTTGAACATGTCATTGCCTTTAAAACAAATAGCTCTTTCACCCATGCTGGATAAAAAAGAGCTGATTCTCTACTTGGTTAGCCATTAGCAACAGTCAAAAATGGTAAGAAATCAAAGTTCTGGATGCAGACTCCTCAGAGTTTTGTGGAAATGCAGGTCTTGATCTAAACTGTGTGGCTTGGGCCTGTCTTTAGTAACAGTCTCAGCAGTTCACCGAGTTACTGCTTGTTCTGCGTATCCCCCTCAGGAGTAATGGGCAGGCCTACAAGCCATATTGCAAATTATTGATTTTGTCTTTCTTTTCATATAGATGAATGATGTTCTGCTGTACACATATCCCCAGAAGGATGGCAAATACCGACTGAAAAACACCTTAGCTGTGTCAGGCATGAAGGTAATGCCTCATCTGTATTATAGGCTGAAATTAAAGTTTTATAGTGAGCTATTAGTGTTTTGCTGGTTTATGTCTCATATCCAGCAAGGGGAAAGAGGGGATGGACCTGTTATCAGGGGATTCCCTTGCCTCTTACAGGAGACAGAAGGAAGAGTAATATAAAACAAATATAATATAATATAATATAATATCATATCATATCATATAAAAAAATATTATCTACAAGTCTGTGACTTAGTATGACAACCTTACTCAGGCTGCATAAATAATACAAGCCAAAATCACAGTTACCATCTGATCATGAAACTGGAAACAGAAAGAAATTTATCTCATTTTGTCCATTCCTCTCCTCATATCTCCACCCAATGCATGATCATTCCCTTCAACATATTCACTAGAACTTAGTTTGCCTGGTTTTAAACTCCTGCTACTCAAAATTTACACAAGCTTGGTTTTCATGTTCCTTTTAACTGTTGTAATCAAAAGCATTAAGGGTTCAGAAAGCAAGTAACCAACTTGCTTGGTTGGGGGAAAGGTATATTGGGAGCGATTTCATGCAGTGATATGAACACAGTCTCTTCTTCAAAAAATGTATACATTGCAGACACAACTTATGTATCCTTACACTTTCCCTAAGCATCCATTGGCACCATCTCCTGTGCAACAGGAGATACCGGACTGGAGGGGTCTTTGCTTCTTACCTAGCCATCCATGACACACCTCCTGCCAAGAACCTTCGTAACTGTTCTATAGCTAATACGCCAAGTTGCATTTACGTGAAAGAGAATTTGAAGTGACAAGCCAGGAGTCTGATGATCAAGAAAACAGACAAGATGAGAATTACTAATCATTAATTCCAGTGGAATGACAGGGGAAACTTAAGGTATTGTGAAAATGTGGGAGGCTGATCACCCCAGAGACCTGATAGTTTAAAACTAACTCAGGGATCCCATCTGGTGTAGGAATTGCCAAAACATTTTACCATTAAGTGAAAAGGAGTTGCAGAGCAGGTACTTGTTAAGGTATATTTGAAACACTGAGTCACATTAAGTCATAATGATGCTTCTTAATACAAGTGTATGAAATCATGAAGCTATGTTTCTCCTCTATGACTTCTGCTATTAGCAGGCAACTAATACACTAGATGGCAAGGAAAAGATTTTAGATGAGCTGTAGCTTTTAAGTTTGTTGGGTTCTTTTGCTCCTAAAGAGCCTTGCTGCAGACAGGCATTCCCTGAACTGAAGTGCTTCACTGTATAATGTCTGCATGTCAGAAAGAGATTTCTGTTCATTACAAGCATAGACATAACTTTTTCCAAAATGCTCTGACACTTGCCAGACTAAACATCTCCTAAGCTTGTCACATTAAAACTGAACCCCGACAGATACTTTATCCTTATCTTTATAGGCTGGATTAAATTATTTCTTTCCTTTAGCACCAATTGAAATAGAGAGCATTCCTCATTACACCAGCGATACAGAAAACAAAAAACCCCTACCTGCTCACCTCTTTACACTGAAATATGACAAAGATGGCTTAGACATCATAGATCTGTATGCATTGAGACTTGTATGGTGTACTGGTTATAGACAGTTTAACTCATGTCCACACTCGTGTTCACGGCATTTGTTTCTAGGTCAGTCGTTCAATGACAGAAAAAGCCCAAAACGTCCTGAAGATTGAATATGATGAGCATTGCCTGACCCTGTCAGCAAGGTATTGTTCCCAAACAGCCATGGCAGAGGGTGTTACATTCTAGAGCTGTATCTCTAGATTAGTCCAACCAATACCCAAGACTGAAATGGTGTCTTATTCTTTTTTAACTCAGTATCGGTCTGCTATTGTGACAGACGATGGCTGAGTACTTGATTACACAACCAACAGTCATTATAAATGTGAGGCTTATAAACTGTAACTAATTCAATTAATGTACTCAGAGATTAGAAGTTGGGTCTCGATAACATCTTACAGAGAAAGGAAAGAGAAGAACATTTGTTACTAAGAAACCTGAGTACTTTCCATTATCTTTCACACACTTTCCCTGTGACACTAAGAGTATGTTGTATCTCCCTCTTACAAGTTCCCTTGTTACCTCATACCATACCTCACTGGGGCTGCAAAAATAGTAATTAGGTAATACCATGCAACAGATATAAAAGCATTTAATAGTGCCTAAATGACAAAGCCAGAATTAAACCTTACTGGCAAGCTCATGGTTTTTCTAATAAAAGAAATCTCCCTAATGAATTTGTGTACTGCTAGTACTGATTGCACCTGGGAGTCAAGATCTCTGTCCTGGAATTACAAGCCAGAAAGAGATTATAGGTCAGCTTCTGATCAGTATTTTTCATGCTTCTAGCCCAAAACTATCCTGCAAATTTACCTACAGCTATTGCAGAAAGGTGGCTGGCTTGATTTCCATGTGTAGTTTATTACAAAAGACATAGCACACTAGCAGCAGTATTAAAAGTAAGTCTTCCAAATGACAAGGTCTTCAGTGCTTTTAAGCACTGATTTTCCCACAGTCTCCAACTACAGAATGTTTGGAAACACAGCAGACTTCCTTAATTACACAGTGCAACAAAAAGACAGGGAGGGTACTTTCCTACTCAGAATCAGAATTTGGAACTCTCATCCTTCCACTTAACCATCTGTGGGCCATGTTCAGCTATCTGTCAAAGCCTTTTGGTCCATTTCCTTTTATAACCATAACCATATCTGAGATTATCTTAGACCTGTACACTCATCAATCCTCAAAATATACACACAGTAATTTTGAGTTACCTGATAGTTATAAAAGCAGGATGTGTACAGTTCTTCTGTACTGCAGAGGGGAAATAACTGCTGTACATCCCCTTTAGCCAGGGCAACTAAGTTGGCATCCCTAGTGAGCAGCTTGGGACACTTTGCTTGCATTGTTAGCATGTTTCTTTGCTTTTTGTACTCATATCAAGTCCATGCTTAGTTAGCCTAAACAAAGCATGTGAGGCCACCATGAGCTATGTTTATTTGGTAGTAGATAGGACCAGGGCCTGAGACTAAGGTTGCCCTTCTCATAACAGCCATATGGAGACTGGGACAGATTCCTTTTCCCTTCCTTGTGCTGCTCATTCTGGGACTGGTCTACCAGAAGTCACACAAAACATTTTTTCCTCTCCCTTTGTGTACTGGCTGGCAGAGCTGAGACACCAGTGGGCCAGCATGCCCTCCTAACCCCATTGCACAACATCTTTGACCTGCCACACTCACAAAAAAGCACCAAAGGCAGAAATGTACCAGAAAGCTTTAAGCATCCCTAAAGACCGTATATTTTACTGCTCACACCAAGATGCTGCAAGTCTGCACTGAAAACCGCTTGGTAACAACCACAGAACCAGCCTCAGTGCTTTTATACTGGTATGAGACAAGGTGAATGCACTGAGGAATTACAGCATGAGCACCAAGGACTAAAGGCAGTAGACTAAGGACGACCAAAGCTCAGAAGTCAGCCGTGGTTACAGATGGCACTGTAAAGTCTTTCCACTTTCTGCTGAAAACAAATCTTGTTCACCTGAAGAGACATGTTATTGGTTTGCAGGGAGCTGCTAACAGATCTGAACACAGCACCTTTTTGGAGAAGGCTTATATCTTCATTTGCATTTCAGAAATATTTTTGGACACAGGGATAACCACATGGTGCTCATATAAAATACCAGAGCACTAGGAGAAAGCAGTCAATGTTACCTCCTCAAAGGCTAATTTAGAGTGACAGTGGTAGCACTGCGACAAAGTCCCATCTCAGCCCGATTTCTGTGTTCTGTGGATGTCCTCTACTGCAGTGACAATTTGACCCTATTTGTTTAATGAAGAATATATTAGCCAACATAGATAACTGATAGCTCAGTAAAGAAAAGATGCATCCCAAAAATCCCACAAGGACCAAATGTAGCAATGGTGAATCACAGGCTGAGCTTCTCTGAGCCTCAGAGGTTCAGCAAAAATTCCTCTGAGCCTTCAAGCAACCAGTCAAATAGCTAACTAGGAACAGGCCAGTGCCAGTTGACATAATTTATCTTACTCATCAGCAGATGGGTGTTATTCCCGAATGTAGTCACTAATAACCTGCAGTTACTGCCTAGAGATGTTTAATGGAGTGGAGAAGAGGTAAAGGGGCCAGTTAGATATGAGACTTTTAATAGTAGGTTGCCCCTCTTACCTGTCTTTCTCAATGGGGCTTTAATTTACATCACTATATGGGCCATGGTTTCCTTTGTTTTTTGGTTGTTTTTTGTTTTAATCATATCTTAATTCTCAAGTGAAGAGAATTTCCAAGAAAGAATTAGCGAGAGAAAGGTTTAAGCCAGGACTCCTGGCTGTGAACATCATCTGTCTGGAAGATACAGACATCTTCATGTTTCTTAAAAAGTGTAATTTGATGGGTAGTAATTTTGGTAGTAATAAGGAATGACTAAGCTAGATGAAGCCAAGCTGGATGGAGCTCTGAGCAGCATGGTCTAGTGGAAGGTGTCCCTGCCCATGTCAGGGGTTTGGAACACAATGATCTTCAAGGCTGCTTCCAACCCAAACCATTCTGTGATTCTATGACTAGTAGTGTGTGTCTTGACAGAGGTGATCTCCTGTAACACAGGCCCTTGGCTTCCAGAGGTTAGCTTATATGTAATACATGCACTAGCTCTGAGTTTCTGCTCTGGGCTTGGTAAATTTTGCAGAGGCTGATGTTTTTGAGACAAGGCTTACGCTTATGGTGCAGAGGGATGCCAAGTCAAAGATCATCAAGAAAATCTGGCTCTTCCTCTCTCTTTGTGCCTTTTTTTTTAAGACCACAAAACACAAATTGTTCTCAGACATCTTGTTTGGTGGTCTTCACGAGGACAGTGTGAGGAAATCACAGCTGAACAGCAGCTGGCAATGATGCCACTGCTAGATTTTACAACAAAGTCTAGTGGGTAGCTTTAATGTGAGTAGCTGGTATGATCTGGGGAAGGGAGACCACACTATTTTCCCTCCTGCGACTGAGGCTAGAAACCGCTAGAACTGTGCAGAGTTTCAGATGGGCAGGAAGCACATAGTTTGAAGTCACAGCAGAAAAACCAGCTAACATAAGCAGGACACCTCATGGCTGTAACAGAGTGAATGCATCTGGGAAGGAACAGGCACTAAGAGCCCTTTTGCTTTTTTGGGGATAGCTCGACTGGAAGGGAAATGAAAAGTGTTCGCTCGTTTGCCTTGTGCAAAGGAGGCATCTAGGGGCCAGTCTGGAGAACTACTGGCCTCTATGTGTACCTGCAACTATAGGGAATGCAAAACTTCCTTCCCAAATTGCTGTCTTGGCCTCTTGCCAGGAGACTGGAGGTTGCTGGGATAGACCTAGAGGAAAATGAAAGTATTCACATCTGCACTGTTGGTGACAGGCTTCTGCAGATCATCTGAGCATCCCTCTATAGAGATGAGCATAAGCACACCATGCCATAAACCCATGCCAATGCTACATGCAGTAGAGTGCCTAAAAGCTAGAGCTGACAGGACAAAAAGAGACAATTCATATTGCCCTCTGTGATCTAGGATTGAGCAGCTTACAGCAAAATCAGAGAGTACTTTGAAAAATTTTCTGGACATTAGTTCCTTCTCAGTCACAGTCCTAACCATGGAGCTACACTACTCATTGTGCTGAATATGTTTTCAACAGTCAATTTTGGTCCTGGTCAGAAAACTGTCGATTCAGTGCAATAGTGCAAGAAAGCAAACATTCATAAAGTAAAGCTTTTCTCCTCTGACCAGCTTGTTTCAGTCCCTGCTGTGCATGGCATTGACTGCTCTGTTGTATTTCATTCCACAGCTCTTGCTCAGAAAGGGATGACTGGTACAACTGCATCAGCAGACACATCCCAGATGACTACAAAGCTCACAACACTTCGACTTTCCACAGCAGTGTAGAGGTAAAAGGAGGCCAAGTCTTTCAATGCTTGAAAAGGGAAGGAGGGAAAGAGAGAAAGGAAAGAAGGAGGGTTATAAAATTCAGAATTCCTAGTAGCCAGATACTCTATTTTCTTTTAAACCAGTATGCCAGGCTTGAGCAATGAAACTCATCACGGCTTGTAGGCTACCTCTGAAATGTTAATCACACTCTATACTCTGTGGCCTTTGCTTAGTTCTTCTGAAGGAAGATTATATTGTCCTGAAAGACAAACCAGTAACTATTTGGATTAATTAAATATAGCTACAAACTTGATAGATATAACAAACCCAAAATTACCCTTAGTTACGCTAATGTTATACACACAATAAAGTAACTGCCGGTGCGAACCCCAGTACAATTTTGCAATTGTACCAGCACAATTATGTATATTATTATCTCATTATTTTCAGTTGTACTACTCTCAGGTAAGAAGGCAAAGAATGCATCTGATAAAAAGTAAAAATGTTATTTTAGCTTATGTAGAACACCAATTTTACTAAATAAGAAAGAGTGCTGGTGAGGCCACATCTGGAGTGCTGTGCCCAGTGCTGGGCTCCTCAGTATGACACACGGAAATGCTGGAAAGCCCAGCAAAGGGCAACAAAAATGGTAAGGGACTGGAGCATCTCTCCTGTGAGGAAAGGCTGAGAATGCTGGGAATGTTCAACCTGGAGAAGGCTCAGGGAGGATCTCATCTATGTCTACAAGTAGCTGGAGGGTACAAAGAAGATGGAGCCAGGCTCTTCTCAGGGGTGCCCAGTGATAGGACCAGAGGCAGTGGCCACAGACTGAAACACAGGAGGTTCCTTCAAACAGCAGCAAACACTTTTTCACTCTGAGGGTGACCAAGCACTGGCACAGGTTGCCCAGGGAGGTTGTGGAGTCTCCATCCTTGGGAATGTTCAAAGGACACCTGGACACAGTCCTTGCCAACTGCTGCTATATAACCTTACCTGAGCAGAGTGGGTGGACCAGATGACCTTCAGAGGTCCCTTCCAACCTCAACCAGTTTGTGATTAAACTTAAAATTTTTTAAGACCTCAGAAAGTAAAAAATTAATTCAAAACCAAAACAGGATTTTTTTCCTGGCCTGTATCTAATCTAATTTCAAATATTTAACAAGAAAAAAATAGAAATTAGTCAGTATAACAATCTAAACCAAATCCTTTTTCAACAAATGAAAAAATAATTTCTTTCCAGCTCTGCTTCTGATGTAAACCTGAATGTGCACATAAAGAAAATTTGGAGGAAATCTGTCTTTAGATCCTATTTGTCTGCAGAAGTCTAATTTCCACCTAGGACACCTTCCTAACAAACAGTCCTTCAAAAGCACAAGAGTCTGTGGTATTTGTGCCAAATGCTGAGCAGCTGTAATCTGACAGTGGGGGACTCCCTAATATTTTGGTGCTGAACCTGAAGTAACATAGCTTCTCAGCACAGTTTATTAGATTGGGTTCAGCTGCACAGGGACCATGGCTCCCTGGGCTTGAGCAAAGGCACCTGAACAATACTGCGATGCAGTGCATTCCACTGCAATTGGGAGAAGTGAATACATTTTTCTAAAGCTCCTTACATATATTCAGATCAGCCATGGAAAGCATGGATCAGATTTGGAGTAGGAGTAAGGGAGGGTAAATTCATCTTTGGTTTTTGTGTTTTCTTTACTCTCTGTTGCATCATCACAGAACTGTCCCAAAGTGTAATGACATAAAAAGCTCAGGTACATTTTGACTGAAAGCTATAGAACTTTTTATGGATATTATTTCAAAAGCTTCTAATAAAAAGACAGCTTTGACTCATGTTCTTACCTGCACTTTTCATATGCAGTTAATCAGATACTTGTCTGGCATGGAAGAGTATCAGGGTCTCACCAAAAATAGATTTGCATGGATTTTACTTGTTGTGACTCTGGCTTTAAGAGCATCATGTACTAATCTTTCAGTGCTGAAGCAGTTGCATGTCACTTAAAAGTGCATTAAGAATGAGGAAATTTGGGGATCTTAACAGGAGAAGGTAGATTGAAATGAGAGGAGAATTGTATGTGATGGACCAGGGCTGACTGAGTGCACTTTGAAAGTGCAGATGCTTTTTCATTTATTTTTGTTTGATTTTAAGCTAAGGGAAAGGCTTGGAATACCCTTGGGAGAGAGGCCTCCTACTTTGGTACCTGTGTCCCATGTCATGATGTGCATGAACTGTGGCTGTGACTTTACCCTCACTTTGAGGCGACATCACTGCCATGCCTGTGGGAAGGTAAGAGCTGTACAAGCTTCTGGGGGGCTTTATTTTCACCTCTGGGATGCCAGCTGCTACTGCTGTAACTTCTGCAAATTTGTAGTAACATCAAGACTTTAATTTGACTTCTCACAGAACCTCTGTGCTTTGCTAAATTAGCTAATTAGGTCCTAATGTCACTAGAAGAAACAACAGTTACCTTGCCTTAAGGGGTAAAACAGCCTCCCGAAGGTGGGTAGTTAAAGGCTGACAGGATAATTATTGCTGGGTGCAGCCATTATATCTGATATATAGCTAGCTCTGGAGACAATGAAGCAATACACTAAAAATACAGGCCTATACAGAGCAGTAGCACATGTACTCCATGACCTGTCCCTGATAACATCTGGTAAAATTATCTTCCAAGAAAAGTGAAGAAATTCAGCAGTAGATCATGGTTTGGTCAGTGACCAAAGGGAAAGTTTCTTCTGTGCTCCATTGAAGAGCTGTTGCCTTTTGCCCTAAAGCTAAGGGGATCCATAAGCTTTCTTGGGTTTGTCCCTTTATTCCTGACTCTAGAGATTCGTTTATAAACAAAAACCTGCAGTCATGCTTTAAACCATGACTGTCTTTTAACCTTATTTTTTTTCTAAATTTTAATAAAACTACCAGTGATTTTTGCTAGTATAAAAAAAAAAAAAAACATTTACCTAATCTTTTTTTTTTAATTCCACAGAGCAAATCAGTCTGTACTTAAACAGGGATTGCAGGAACATGCAAGCTTGCTTAAGAAAACAATGCTACTAACAAAGCTATGAAAACAGAAATAATTTTAAAGGTGTCATTCTGCAATTCATTACTAGGGAAGGTATAAATTCCTGAGGAGAAGGACACAGCAATGGTGTGCAACTAAATACATGTTCGGTTCTGCTTAGCTTACAACAGTGCAAACCTACAGCAATCATATTTCAGTCAGCAGACTTTCCCTGGCTGGCACAGTTTTTTATGAGAGAACCATGTCTGGTCCACTGTCCATCTTCCCCTCCCAGCAAGCTTAGGGGATTTTTTTTGTATGTGCATATCTATAAATAGAAATTATATTTATGTGCATCTCTTCTTGATGGAACAGATTGTATGTCGAAATTGTTCAAGAAACAAGTACCCTATGAAGTACCTTAAAGATCAAGCAGCCAAAGTCTGTGATAGCTGCTACGTGGAACTTAATAAAAGAGGTAGGATTTCTTCATTCTTGTCAAAACTGACAAATCTATTTCCTTCCTGTATGATGAGGAGGCTTTAGGACCTGCCTACTATGTTGTATTTTGTTAAATATGCCTCAAGCTTGAGGCATGTGTATTGAGGTTTTGGGAGAGTCAGGCTTTATAGCAGCTGAAACTGTTTAGCAAGCCATAAAATCAAGTTTAGCAAACTGTTTTTTCAAATGGAAAGAGGGGACATTTAGGTTAGATATACAGAAGAAATTCTTCCCTGTGAGGGTGGTGAGGCCCTGGCACAGGTTGCCCAGAAAAGCTGTGGCTGCCACATCCCTAGCAGTATTCAAGACCAGGTTGGATGAAGCTTGGAGCAACCTGGATAGTGGAAGGTGTCCCATGGCAGGGACTGGAATGAGATGAGTTTTAAGGTCCCTTCCAACCCAAATCTTCTATGATTCTAAGCCAGGTTCTCGGAGGGCTTCCCTGACCTTTTTAATATACCAGAATAATGGTAAAAACTATGTCGTGTGATGAGCAACTGAGAACTCTGGGTTTGTCTCCTCTGGAGATAAGGAGGCTGAGGGATGATCTCATTGCTCTCTGCAGCTTCCTGAGGAGGAGACGTGGAGACAGTGGTGCTGATCTCTTCTCCGTGTGATGCAGTGACAAGACACATGAGAATGGTTCAAAGCTTCATCAGGGGAGGTTCTGACTTGACATGAGAAAACCTTTCTTTTCCCAGAGGGTGGCCAAACATTGGAACAGGCTTTCTAGAGAGGTGGTCAATTCCCTATGCCTCTCAGTGTTTAAAGGACATTTGGACAATGCCCTTAATAACACAATTTGACTTTTGAGCAGCCCTGAAATGGTCAGGCAGTTGAACTAGATGATTGTTGTAGGCTCCTTCTAATGAACTATTTTATTCTGTGATGTAATTATAGGTGATAACTCTTCCCTGTCATTTATAATTAATTATCCATTAAAGTAAAACAGTGGCTTTTTGGTTCTTCACTGTCCTCATCCATGTTGTAGCTTTTACAAAAAGAAATCCTCAGATAAAGTGCAGAGTCGCTAAGAGCTTTTCTACATATGGAGTTAATCTGGTTACAGATGAAAGCATAAATTCAAAGCAGAAGAGCTACTGCCTATCTAGAATTATATTATTAGCCTACTACGTAAGTCTCTTTTCTGATTTAAATAGACATCCAAATCAAAGACAAAAGGTTACAAATATATGAACAGAGAGTGAACAGGACATAATTTTCTTATACTACTACTCATATAGACAATCTGTAAAAATAAGCATATTATATTGCCAAGAATAAAAAGGTGTGGACAATTGAAGTTTAGGTTTTTGACTGAAGACATTCACACTAGCCAAGCAAACACATGAACAGATGCTGTCACAACAGCCAAAAAAAGGCATCTCCAAGCAACTCTGTGTCCAAGAAATTCAGACTTGCGCTAAAACAATGCTATCTTTTACTAAGAGCTTTCAAATAATGTGTGTTGCCAGAAGTGGAATCATGAAGATGTGAACTCAGACAAGTGGGGTTAATGGAGATTTTCAGAGCCAGAAGAATTGTCTCCCATGCAGAATTCAAAGAAAATAGTTTATACAGAAAGAATGTCTCATTAGTGAATCTATCCTGCAAAGGTGTTACAGAACATGGAGGAGATGTCAAAGCCATTTGCTTAATGCTCATTTTAAATAACAAGAAAACAAGCTGTGCTTTGTCAGCTTTCTTGCAGGCTTCTTTCAAGCTACTGTAGGTTATTAAAAAAGGGTGCTATGGAATCCACTGATCAGACTTAAAGAGGTGATTTGAAAGAAAGGCTAAAATAAAAACTAGGTGAGAAGGAGGCATTGCATTTTCCTTAGTCATTTACATTAGTGTATTGTGTGTCTCTTACACAGCCTGATATGTATCAACTCATCTATTTCTCCCTTCCCCTTCTAATTTTTCTTAATCTTGCAGCGCGGCCACTAAGCATGAACTTCCCTCCAACTTCATCCAGGTGTTCAAGCAGTGCCTTCTCCTCTGTTTTCCACAATATTCATTATTCATCTTTTAAGAAACAGAAGAAGATCCCTTCAGCTCTCATGGAGGTAGGACCAAGCTGCCTAAGAAAGGCAAGAGACTCTAGGAACTGTGTGCTCATACTTCAGCAGCTATGTTTATACAGTGTGCAGGTGGGCTCAGCACATGCCTTGGTTTACTTTCATCATGCAATTATTTTTTTGTTTTTCACAGTAGTGTTTAAAATACAAAAATATTCTGACCTCTGGAGATACCACAGAAGTGTCTTGAGCCCAATGAGAAACCCAGTTAGAGTATGATACTTTTAATTTGCTCATCAGCCTGTGAAGTCTTGAAAAAAAACTAAAAACACTTTCAAGGTACTAGATAGAACAACAGAGCAGATCATAGACACTGACAATCTTACCAGTGTAAACAGAATTCCCACCAATTTCAATGGGGCCACGATTTCTAAAGCTGTATTAGTTTTCTTTACAGGAACAATGTACCAATCATTTTGATGTATTCTAGGTAGCTAAGCTGCTCATTGAACAAACCTTAAGAGATTTGTTTGTGAAACTGTGCCAGAGATACAACCATACAATACAAACACACAAATATAATATTGAAAGAGCCAGCAGGCAGAATTTAAACCTCATGAGGGGAAAAAGTATCACCTTTCTCTCCACATGGAGGTAGCACATGTTTATTAACATGAACTATCTCACAATAGCATTACTCCAGGTCTTGGAACATTTCTGTTCTGCTGCAAATCACTGCTGTATAAATGCTCGGTTTTCCCTTCTGTCAGTGCTACAAAAGCTGGTTTTGAATCTCTGCTCTTTGTTTCTAAATCCAGTACTGTTTACTGCTGTAAATAGTGATGTACACTGCATTGTGTGCGTGCATGTGTATAGTTCCAGCTACTCAAAATCTGGATTTTTAAGAACATTAAGTACTTAGATCTCAAAATATTTCTGTGAGAGGGCAACTCTTCTTCGAAATATTTCACAAATGAAACCAAGTCATCATTAGGTGATTAATATAAATGAATATAAACCCATAGCAAAGCCCTAAATATACCCATGTCTTGAAAGTGTTCAGCCACAAGACTGTAATTCACTTTTGGAAGCATGTACTTTTAAAGTACAAAAATATCCCAGATCTGGGAAAAGGGTTGAGTTTGGCTTTTCAGAACACAACTGTAAGCTTACTGACCTGAATAATAACTCAACTGCATATTTCCCATTAGTTACTGAGAACAAATTTTAACTATAAAGATTCAAACAGTTAAGAAGAACCGTAATACCATGCTAATAATTTGTCTGTATCAATACTTTTAATGGTCTACTTACAGTTTCACCTGGTTATCTGGTGTGATGCAAGCATACATAATCAGGAGGGAAAAAGCCTTTGCTGTTACAAATCCTGATTTCTCCTACCTTGCTCCAGGTGGCAGCCTCAGGAGAGGGAGCTACCATCAGCGGTTACCTCAGCAGATGTAAGGGAGGCAAAAGACACTGGAAGAAACGCTGGTTTGTTATCAAAGGCAAAGTCCTCTACACCTACATAGCAAACGAGGTATTGTGCACTTTGACTTGAATTAGTTTCTTATCTGAGATCCCTTCTTTACTCTCTACAGGAGAACCAGAAAATGGGAAAGGTAGAAATGGTAGTTTCTCACAACTATCTGCCTTCCAAGATCTGGTCCTAACAGACTGAGTCCCCAGGGAGCTCAACCACAGCCCTAGCTGAACCTTGGCAGCCCTCAGACACTGCCCTTCATTATCTGACTTCTTGCTGTTCATGCTATTATAAATTGTCAACCACAGTGAACCTTAGCATAAGTATTTACACCTAAAGATTTCAAGATCCTTCAGCATTCTCTGGTGTACTTGGTAACCGCCAGGTATTTTTTGGATAGATGGTGCTACGATCCACTTCTGGTGGGGAGGAGAATCTTGTAGTTTTGCAAGTATAAGTAAGACACTTGTCCTACTGGTACCAACAGGGAAAGACAGGAGACAGGCTGCAGAAGTCAGAATAATGCCAGCTGTGTTGGTCTGTAAGCTCCTCCTTACAGCCAAGGAGGCAGGGTATCAATTAGATCATTTTTATGTATTTTGTCCCTCCCAATCCCTTTTCTTATTTTATAATAACTGCAATACAAATAAACTTGAAGTAAGTGTAATATAAAGTTTGGTTATAATGGACAGATTCCATAAGCAAAACCATAAAAATTAATTTTGCTGAAAAAAAGGACAATGCAAAAACTTGTAAAAGCAACACTTGGTACTTTAAGCCCTCAGAATACTTTGCAAACATCATGTGATGGTTGCATGAAGCAACGTTATCCCCTTTAAACGGGTGAAGAGATTGAGGCACAAAAGGGTTCATGATTTGACCAGCAGTTTAGACCATTATCATCAAATTCTGTATCCACACATTTACCTTACCTCACCTAACCTTAAAAGTGATCATTTCTGGTTCAACAGTAGGGAAAAAGCAACAATGCTTAATTACACTTTGCATTCCCAGTCTAGAAGTTACCTTCTAAAAGCACAGGCAAAGCCAACATACACATATAATCACTGCCTAAATACAGTGAATAAAACTCCAGCTATCACTAACAGCTAAACTGCAGTTCAATTAAGGCTTATTGTTTTCTTTGACTTCTGCAAAGCCATGTCTAGCAAGCAAAATTTGTGGAAGCTTCTTGGGACTAAATTAACAATTATTTGCATTACAAGCTAGGAAATTTTAAACCAGCCTTTTGGAAAGCAAGTGAGCTGTTTGAGAAAAAGCAGATTTCTGAAAAAGTCACTGGTGCTGTGAAACGAAATTACAAGGCACCAAAAAGACTACTATTTGCACCCAGTAAAAAAAAATTACTGAAAGAAACATAACCGGGAGTGTGTCTCAGGCTTTCAGAACTGCTGCTGGACTGTCCCATACTCTCAAGTAATCTCTGATTTGCCTTCTGGACCATTATGTCAGACAGCCTTCAATGTAGTGGCTAATTTGACCTGCATGGCCATGTGGATGATCACAAAGAATTGGATTTGCAGAGGTGGTCAAGTTCGGTATTCAGACTAGATAAAAATGTGTGGTACAGGTGCTGCTCTTGTTTAGGGAAGAGCCATGAGTCCAGCAGAACATTCAGCTACTGCTTTTGCATTTGTCACAGCAGGGTTGTATCATTTGGTTTTCAGCCTTCTCACTAAATTTTGGTTCACTACTTCTTTGCTTTCAGGACAAAGTTGCTACAGAAAGTTTGCCTTTGCTGGGTTTCACCATTGCCCCAGAAAAGGGGGATGGAAGCATGGATGCAGTTTTTCATCTCTACCACAAGCAGACTCTCTTTTATAGCTTCCGAGCAGAGGATAACAATTCAGCACAGAGGTATGGGGGTAGACTTCCACACTAGCCAGTGCACAGGTCCAAAAGCTTATGTAGGGCTTTCCCCTCTCCTTCAGTTCAGAATGCCTTCATGACAGAGGAAGCAAGCAACTTTCAGAGTGTTGATTAAGCCAAATTACATGTGACTGGCCTGAGTGACATTAAAAATCTACCTGGTGCTTTTACTTTCCTTCAGAAAGGAGAATTTGCTTCCTCCTACGGGTAAAGAGGAGACAGAGTCCCTAGAGTCATGTCTAGAAGTCTGTCACAGGTGATTATTGTACAGAAACTTCTCTGATTTATATGTTCAATTTATATGTTCAATCTTAGTTTTCTCATCAACAAGTAATTGCTTATTTTTCTCCATTCTATTGCTACTGCTTCCACATAATAAAACAGTCACAAAATTTATAATAAAAATGCCAGCACCTCCAGACACACAGGAAAGGAAATGAGTGTTTATACAAGGTTTTGTTGCTTTTAAACATACTTCAGTGGTTTCATGTTTCCTATTCTAAGACAGCACTTATACTGTCTTTGAGACTTTACAATAATTTACTGGTCAAGATTGCATTAGAAAGCAAGAGTCCTAGTAACTCAGCTCCCTGCTTTAATCACAAAACTATAGTTCCTCATCAGAGCTGGGATGGAAAATATAGTCTTCTTCAAGCTTTATGTTCTTAAAATACTTTTTTCTTAAAATACATATCTTCTTAAAATGTATCTAGTTTTATATGTACCACTTTTTCTTTTCTGTTCTTTTTAGGTGGATTGAAGCCATGGAAGAAGCATCCATATTATAGCAGCTATCATGCAATGAACTTGGAAGAAATTCTCAGATTTCTATACATTTCCAGCAATCCTCTTATGACTTACAAAACTGAACAGTGTATTTCAGGCCCACTGGCCACACACACTGGATTTGAACTGTTTCCAGTTTGCTCTTTTTGCTTCCTTCTTCTTACATCCACGTTGTTGCAAATGAAAACTTCAAAGTAGAGAATGTTTATGGTGATCTTTATGTATGTACAACTTCAGCCTGTACTATAAGCTTCTCCTCAGACCTCACAGTAAACTAAGTCTAACATCAAGACCAGAAAATACATGGAAATACTGACTATAGTAAGTAACAGGCTCAGATTTACTTACTCTAGAGCACTGCCGTATTTCATTGAGTTGGTTTTGATGTCTACCACAACACGAGAAACCATGTAGTACACAACAAATGATCATTTAAAGCACTTTATCATTTTTATTGAACTACACTTTCCTTTTCTTCGTGTTTCTAAGGAGTTCTGTGGCATGATTTATTACCCATCCATTAACAAGTGCCAGCATGAAATTATGCCCCACGAATGCGAAATTGCTTCCACAGAAAATGAACGAACAACACATTCAATTTACCTGGTCTACCAACACTTCACTACCTATGATCCAACGTAATTACTTACTATGAATTTATAATTTTACAGAGAGCATATAATTTATGTTAAAGGGTTTAGTTTCATATCACTGCAGTACTTTGAAATGCACTTCAGTAGATCTACAGATCCAGGCGTTGAATTATATCACTTCTCCTTAAATACTGCATCAGACTCAAACCCAAAGGTTATTTCTAATTTATTATAAACCTACAGACAGTTTTTATTTAACATGTCTACCTAGTAGTGTTAGGATTTTTATCCTCTATTTAAATAGTCTATCTTTATTTTCAAAATTCCTGTTGTTTCTGCTGTTCTTGTTATGAAAAAAAATGTTATCAAAAATTGAATGCACATAACTAGCACAGCATTTGAAATATGCTGGGTGCACTGAAATGCACTTGTCTGAACCTGCTCTGCTGGAGTGCTTTGGAACTCCTGTGGCTATACCTGTCTCACATCAGACTGCTGCCGTGCACTACATTTCCAGGGCTGGATTCTCAGCAGCCAGCTGTGTTTGTGTGACTTCAAAGATGCTATGCTGCTTTACACCAGCTAAGGATATAGATGTCTGGAGTTTGGGGGTTGGGTTTTTGTGTTTGGTTTAGGGGGTTGTTTTTTGTTAGGGTGGGGTTTTTTTAGTGTTTGGGTTGGGGTTTTCTATAAAGATTGAGAAGTGGTGTTCTAATCATTGCAATACCATGGTTTTGTGTCCTGTATTTGTCATAATATTTGACTGAGGAATAGAACAGCATCTATGATTAAAATATATCTTTGTATAAAAATACCATGTTCAAGAATTTACTTACATTAAAATATATTGTTGGGTATTTTTATTACTTTCATTTTTCCCTTTCTTTAAGAAGGTTAATGGATATCTGAATTTTTGACCCTAAAAAATTGTTTAGAATTGTCTGCATTTGTAAAGGTCTATAATATATACCCAAATCATAAGGTAGTTCAGTTTATCACCTGCAAAAACAAGCTTAAAGAAACAAATATCTACCACTAAATAAAAATACCACTGTTCTGGAGATTTTTTGATACAACTGAGTCTGACCATTTCAAATAGCATATATTATCATGTGCAAACAGAAATTAAGTATAAAAGTAAAACTTTTGGTTCTTTAGTTATTGAATGAACATCAGTATTAACTCTTTACATTAGAACCATGGCCCTGCTACCAATACACTGTAAATGTTTATTCCCCCCCCCCTAAAAACATTTTGCACTTACAAAAAAATAAGACAACGTTGAATAGAGTAGTATCTCTAACTATGGTCTAAAACAAAACTGCACTACAGAATGACGATATTATGAGGACTTAGATGTTGACATTTGGTGACTGTTGTATGAAGCTTTCAGTTAGAAACATGAAATGAAGACATGAAAATATTTTGTTGTAAAAAATAAGATACAGTGCTACTGGACATTGTTTTAAGTAACACAGAAAAATAAAAGAGCAAAACAACTGCAGTTCTACAGCTTTTTCTTTAAACTGTTTTTACCTTCTTTAATTCCAGCTTTGCAGTTATTGTTAACACATACTTGCCTATTAACCAGTTCTCTGACAAACTAGGGAAGAGCATCAAATCAGAAGATGGTAGTGGAGCCCTTCTGGTGGGAACAGAATTTAGACCTAATTGTTATGATGACGTGTTTCAGTCCACACTGCATTTATCTCCTGTAAAGCCTGCCTATTTTACTTCAACTTACAGATACAAATAGTTTCAATACAGCATAAAGAAAGAGCAAAAAATGAAAACGTCCTCACAACTTCAGTCGAACTGTTAACTAAATTTGACCAAAGCTAAGCACCAGAGACAGAAATTATCATAATTTCAGAATTATTCCAGTAATCACCTTTTAGAAAATGTTAACTTCATAAACTACATATATATACTCAGTTTACTACCTGCCATTTACTTACACAGCTCTTTCCTACTAATTTGTAGTTAGTATTACTCTTCCAAAACAAAAAACTTTGTTCCACACCTTCTTAAATGTTTCCAAAAAAATTCAGTAATACGTCACAATGAACTAGTTACTTGGCCAATAGCTGAGATGTAAGCTGCCCTCATTTGTTGTTCCAGAGTTTTTCTGTTTATTTCTCTACTTACTAAAAAGCATTAAAGTTATTACCCATTAGGTGCAACTAATATTTTGACCTATTTTACAGCATATGCCTAATTAAAATCTGTTTTTTAAACAGTTATTAAATTATTTTCTAAAGTACAAGTTATTCAGACATGGAGGATACCAACATGACAAGATTCTGTACCACTTACATAAGCACTGCTAGTCAAGCCCTGGGACTGCTGTCCTTCCTGAGCTGATTCTCTGCTGCTTTTACAACTGACGAAAACCATACAGCTATGAATACTAACCAGGCTTTTCCTGTTTGCATGGTACTTTGATACAAAAGCAATAATGACTACTTTGGTTGTAACCATATTCAGTGAATATCACTGCTTGTGAAGGTAAAAGAAAGTGCAAATACTCAGCAACAGGGAAAGGTATTCCCTTAAATACTAAGGGAAAAACACCAGTTTAACTCCACAAGTTACTTGGGAACATAAACTTCTGTGTATTAAAAGCAGTGCAATTCTAAAGCCTGGGTAACGCTGTGACACCACTTTTGATCAAGTTTTGACAAGAAAGTTTCTAGACTCCAGGGCATGGTGTTATGACGTCAAAGGTTAGACTTGATGACCTTGGAGGTCTTTTCCAACCTTAATGATTTTATGTAGTGATATTTTTCTGCAGTCAAAAAGCCTACAGCAGACAGCGAGGTCATTTTTGCTAAGAGATGAACATGGAGACATGATGGCAAAACCCCCACAGGATGGAGGTCACCAGCTTCCCTCAGCATTGCCCAGCCATGTACAAAAAAGCAAGGCATAAGGACTGATACTTAAAAATCATCAACTAGCACTTAAAAGAGAAATTTAAATTGAATGTGGCATTAGCAAGACCAGTTTATACAGTTAAAACCTTGTCAGTCACATATAACTGTTGATTTCTTCCATGCTAGGTATCAGTTTTGCTCTTACAATTTACATCAAAAGTTTCCAGAAAATTCTATGCAAATTTTAAGCACCTGAAATGAGAACTAAAAAAACCCCAAACAACAAAGCTCTACAATACTAATCCTAATGATCCAATTACCTACAATATCCCAAAAATTTAAAACACATGAGCAACCTTAAATCCCATTCTCATTTTGTAGTACTTGGCCTGCCCTGACTTTTGACTACCCCTTAGTCCATTATGTACTTTTACTCCCATCACCAAGGCCAGAGAGAAAGCTTTGACTATGCCATTAGTATTCTCACAACCCACAAGTGCTTTGCAGTGGTTCTCTGCTTCCACACTTAAAACCTCCTTCCCTCTTCACAAGTATGCACATCTCACCTCTGCTCTGTGGGGAATTCAGGCTGTTCTCCTGGGCAGGGTGCAACTTCCACGGCGTCTCTTCCCTCCTCTTCTTGCACGACAATTTTGCAGCACGTTTTTTCTTCTGAGGCAACTATCCCAAAAAAAGGGAGAAGCTAAAAGGTCCTTGTTATCAGCAGGTGCGTTTGAAAATGAACACCACTAAAATCCCTTCTCCACTATGGCTGGGAACAATTTAATCCTTATTGTCAGGAACTGCGGCCCGAAGGAGAGAAGCCCTCGGTGGAGCCCACTCTCTGTGAGGAGAGGAGCCCTGAGGACCCTCGGTGGAGCCCGCTCTCCGTGAGGAGAGAAGCCCTCGGTGGAGCCCGCTCTCCGTGAGGAGAGAAGCCCTCGGTGGAGCCCACTCTCCGTGAGGAGAGGAGCCCTGAGGACCCTCGGTGGAGCCCGCTCTCCGTGAGGAGAGGAGCCCTCGGTGGAGCCCTGAGGCGAGGAGCTCTCGGTGAGCAGGGCACAAGCCTGAAAAACACAAGGGCAGGCAGGAGGTGGTCTGTGCTGGCTGGGATCCTCTGAGCACTGCTCTGAGGGGGGGTGAAACCACCAGTAGCAGAAAGGGGTGGCTGGGGAAGCTAGTGTTTTAATTTTTGGCTTTCTCACTATCCATAGCTGTTTTAACTGGCAGTCAGTTAAATTAATTTTTCCCAAGACAGATCTATTCTGCCCAGGACAGCAACTGGTATGTGATCTGTCTTTATCTTGACCTATGAGCTTTTTCTGCCCCTGTCCTGTTATGGGGAGGCAGCGAGTGACTGGGTTTAGCATCTGGCTGCAATCCATGGTCAGCTCACAAGAGTGTGGTAGACAGACATAATTATTTTCTTTGCTGCTAGTCTAGTTATTAACCTTTACTTGTAGACTATCTCAGTTTTTGATCTTTTTCACCTTCAGCATCTTCTATTATTTCTCTTCAGTCATAGCTAAGGCCAAAAATGGCCTACACAAGCCCTTTTTACTAATGCTCTTTTAGAAGTCAGTGTATATAAATTTAGAAAACTTCAACATCATCTAATACAATCTTGCTTATTAAACAAGTTCAGGACATAAAGTGTAGTTCTGCACATCACTGAAATTATCACAAACACTGCAGCAAAGTTTGTCACAGCTTTTTTGATGCAGCATTCCTCACTGCACTTAGTGTTGCCAGTCTCAGTGAGCACAGTGGAGCTCCACATCAAATGGAACTGCACTCTACAAGAGTTCAGAATAAAACTGCTCCGAGGTCTTCTCTCAATGGCACAAACAAGGAAGAATGAGGAGACAACCCCTGTGCTCTAAACTTTTCCTCAACTTGCCCATCAGGAAGCACTGAGGGGAAAGCAGCATTTCACATCTGACTTCAGCATTTTCCATTCTTTCACTCAGTCACACCCTTTAATAGTATGTTTTATGAAGTTAAAAAAAGCTGCTTCTAAAGGCATATACATATTTTGAGAATTTGGATATTCCTCATGTATTTAACATTACAATAGTGAACACCCAAGACATTGAGATGTTTTCCTTTATTTATGTATTGCAAAGACATCTGTACATCATCTGCTTTGCTAAGTCCCATTCTATGACAGGCTGTAATTCATAGGTGCACTTCTTTATTTTTCATATCCTTGCCCCAAATAACTACTTCTAAGAAAAACAAACAACCCACCCACAAAAATCCCCCCAAACAAACAAAAAAAATCAGAGTGCTGTGTAACTACTCAGACAATAGCAGTTTCTGTCTACGTGACTGTTGCATTCAGCTGCCAACTCTTCCATACATTTCCTTTCAAGAGTTACCATCCCTCCACCTTTTTCAGTTTTACTATTCTTCTAACTGCTGCTTAAGTTAGTTCCTGCCAAAATTACTGGACTCAAGGAAAACTTATTACAGTACCAAGAACATTTTTATCGGGGTAGGTCAAGAAATAGCTACACAGTTATGACAGGCGGTCAACATCTGGTAGCCTGTGAAATGACAAGCACTGAAAGGTGCTTAAACCATCTCAGCCACACCCAAACCTGGCTTGCGCCTTCAACTGAGCATTCACAAGCAGAACTCGACTCACAACCAGCTTCACCGTGAGAGCCCTAACCAATGACACTGACTTTAGAAAATAAAATAAGAAATCGGCACTATCTGGCGGTGGCGTTTGTGAGAGCCTCCCTCAACTGCGAGACTGACTTTGACTGCACCTTCAGGGAAAACCAGGGTACACCTGAAATATCAGCACCACCGGCGCACAGAACAGCCACCGCCTACCCATTACCTCGGGCTGCAGGCCCTGAGGAGTCTTCTGAGTGAGATGTGCAAAGGCGGGGGCCATGCCTTCCCCTTGCTGGCCCGAGGGGCCGACCTCCTCCTGCGAAGCCATAGGAACCCAGCCCGGTCCGAGCGGTGCGGGGCTCGGGCGGCTCAGGTAGCCCGGTAGCCCCTCCCCGCCGCCGGCCCCGCCCCGCGGGGGATGGAGGGGCCGCGGCAGGGCGGGCACTGGAAGAGGAAGCGGGGACGCGCTCGCGGGCGGCGGCGGTGGGGTCACGAACTCTGACCTGTCACAGGGCACGGCACACACAACAAAACACCCCCGGCCCAACATAGTCCCGGCTCCCTCCCCTCCGCGGGCCCCACAGCCCCTCGCCGCCCCCGCGGGGGGAGGGAGGGCCGCTGCTGGGCACCGCCACAGCACCGACCCGCCCGGGTCACCGCCACTGCACCTTTGGCGCCCATTCCTGAGGTAAAAACCCTTTTTTAAAATTGAGACAGCCCGGGTGGGTTTGTTGTGTGGGGGCCAGGACGAGGGAGGGGGCGCAGGGAGGCGGCAGCGGGCCCTGCTCGGGACACCCCAGTGAGGGGAGAGGAGGGGTGACGGTGGGTTTAGGGGAAGGGGATTGCACAGCTCCGGTATTTGGCTGGTAAGCGAGCGCCAGCTGTGCTCTGGGCTAGCCTGCAGCTCCTGGAGAGAGAGGAGAGGAAAGGACCATTGCGGCGTGCTGGGTCGATCGGCAGTCCCGTGGCGGAGCCGCTGTGCTGCATTGTGGGC